GCTAAAAATGGACAATTTCTAAATGTTAAAGCAGTACATGGTAGAAAATAGTCAGTTTAGATCCAAAAAATCCCCCACCCTGCACAAGGATTAACTCTGAAGTCCTGGATCCCTCTCAGTGGAAAACCTTCCCAGAATGGAGGATGTGAACTGGTCCTGCTTTCACTGGAGCTCTATAAAACATGCATCAAATATCCTTAGCCACCAAATACATTTTGGGTCTGGGAGTATTGCAATTGAAATGTAGCTACAAATGCACCCTGGATTCTTTCTATGACATGAGTCCACAATGTGGGGGAATCTATACAAACCCTCTGTGTGTTGACAAATACTGTGCAGATAATTTTTTTTTCTTTGACAAAAGAAAATATATACTGGAAATCTTGAAGTATATAATATCATCATCCCTCTTCCTCTCCTGGATTCTGAAACAATTCAAGACAAAGTTGTTCAGCAGGTGGAGATAAATATTTAACACCTATGTGGTGTTAAAGGCGATATAGGTGTTAAAGCTGAAGAATGTGGCTTCTAGTTGTGGCCAAGGAAACTTCCTAAAAACTTTCTAAACCCTGGAATCATGCAGACATCTTCCCAGTCCTGTTAGATTAGGATGAATTTTCTTCCCAGGAACTCTATTAATTAAGTATGCCCAGTTTTTTCCTATAAACTCACTCTGACAGACTGCCAGTTCTCCCTAAATCTCTCCTTTCATTCTTCTACAGCAATATAACTCCCACTTTTCAGTGGGTCACAGTGGTTCCCCATCATAAAGACTACATTTCCCAGCCTCCCTTGAATCTGGGTGTAGTCCTGTGACTTAGTTCAATGGGGTGGGGTAAGAAGTGCTGGGGTCAATTTCTGGAAAGGTTAAGGATCTGTGTGTCTCCTCCGAGCTTTCCTTCTCCCTTCTGGGAAGAAAAGGAGCTGGAGTGTCCATTTGGACCATGAAATAGAAACTGAATTTTGAGGATTGCAAACAAACCAGAATGAGCCTGAGGCTTTGGAGATATCATACTAGTCCTGGGTTATTATATTTATTTGAGAGAGAAGATCTTTATCTCATTTAAGCCTCTATTTTTAGGAGTTTCCTGTCACTTAAGGCTGAGTGCAAATCTAACTGATACACTCTCCAGTCATATCAACTATTCCATTTCCTCTCACAATGAATGAGGAAAGGAGTGAGTAAGATGTAGGAAGCAGCTGGGAGTATTACACTAATTAATGTCCCTCCACATGGAAGAGGGTGTGAAGGTGTAGAAAAAAAGAGTTCCTCTCTTGAAAAGCTTGTTAATTCAACAAAAAATGATATGTCACTTGTTAAGTCAAGTACTGCTCTAAGTACTCTATGACTATTTATTTAATCCTCATGAGAATCCTACAAAGTAAATATTAATAATTTTCCCATTTTGCAGATGAGGAAATGGAGCCACAGAGAGGTTGGAGAACTTGCTACAGGTCACATTGCTTAGAAAAAGTTTAATTATAAACTCTCATTCATTACATATTTATTGATATTATTATTGACTAGAGGCCCAATACATGAATTCATGCATGGATGGGGTTCCTTGGCCTGGCCAGCAAGGCAGGGGGGGGGGGGAGGGTAGTCGGGGCTGTTTTGCCTAGGGGCTGGCCAGCCAGGAGTAGTGACCATGGGAGGTTGGCTGGCCATGGGAGGTTGGCTGTGGGAGCACACTGACCACCAGGGGGCAGCTCCTGCATTGAGCATCTACCCCCTGGTGGCCAGTGTGCCTCATAGCAACAGGTTGTAATGTTCGCACAGGCATATATATATATATATATATATATATATATATATATATATTACATAGATTTGCATAGGGCTTGCTTTCATTTATTTAGTTACTTATTAGTAACTTAATCCCGGTGGACTGTATTTTAAAACAAAGGCTAAGATTTTGACAACAATCTTTATCTCCCTTACTTTAAAAAAATCACCACAAACTTAGCACCTTAAAACAACACCATATGTTATCTTACAGATTTTGTGGGTCAGGAGTCTAGGCATAGTGTAGCTGGGTCTCCACTGTGAGACTTATAAGGTGTTAGGAAAACTGTGATCTCATTTTAAAACTTGACTAGGGAAGCTATCTGAGGTTGATGTCTGAATCAGTTGCCTTGAGGCTGTAGAATTCATGAAAGCCGCTTCTTCAAAGTCAGCAAAATGGAGAGAAAGAATCTTTTCTGTTTTGAGTCTCTGACTACTAAATCCTCTTTGAAGTGCTCACCTGATTAGGTCAGGCCATTTCGGTTACTTAAAGTCAACTGTTAAAGACTTTAATTACATCTTCAAAATCCCTCCACCTTTGCCATTAACATAACTTGATCACTGTTGTGATATCCATTCCTTTTTAACTGCTATACAATAGTGCATTAAATGAATTTTTAAATATAGTATATTCTACCACTCTTATGTTGCTGGGAATTTAGGTTGTTTTATTGTTAAGAGTGCTGATACAAAGAGTTGCTTCCCAGTTGTAGGTGGATAAAATTATATTCTGAGAATATACACAGGAGTGAACATAATGAATGTTCAATTTTAGTAGATAATGTCAAACTTTTCCAAATTTACATTTCCATCAGCAACATATAAAAGATCATATGGTTCTCTTCATCGCCAATATTTCTCATAGGTAGATTTTTTTATTTTTGCCCATCAAAGGCATGTAAATTGGTACCCCATTCTGGATTGAATTTGCATTTCCATACTCTCTAATAATGTTCAATGTCTCTTTATACAGTTATTAGCCATGTATTTCCTCTTCTGTGAAATATCTGTTCATATTTTGTCCATTTTTCTATCAAATAGTTTATATTGCTTTAGTATTTATTTGTAGGTATTCTTTATATTCACACACTAAATGAACACTAAAATGAGATACTAGCTTGTTTTAGGATAAAATAAACTTGATAATGATAAACATTCAGCTTTGAATAGAAAGGCAGTATAATGTGGTGATGAAACACACGGTCTTTTGTTCCAAGTTGCCTGGGTCCAAACCTTGACTCTGATATTTAATAAGACTGAGGCCATAGGTGATTTATTTAACCTCTATGCCTCCATTTCCTTCTAAGTTAAATGGTGATAGTTATAGTGTGCACCTCATAGGGATTTTAACGGGTGAAATAAATTAAATATAGGCAACACTGAGAACAGTGCCTAGCACATAATAAGCACTATATTGATATTTGCTCAGAGTTTTATTTGACCTGGATTTCCAAGTGCTTCTGGGTGCTGGATGGCAGTGTCCTGCTAACTAAATTCGAAAGAGTTGTTTTTACAAATCCCCTTAAGTGTATATTCTTTTACTTTGACTCATTTTTAACAAGTCAAAATAAATGATTTTTTTTTTCTTTTGTGCATTACTTTCCCTGAGTAATGAATTAATGGCTAATGGAAAAATATTAACTCAGGCCACTAAATGGTACTAGTGCATATAATAATATAATACAAAGAGTGCACACAGTACTTTATAAAAGATAATATACATACAGCGTATACTTCTGAGTCTAGGCTTTCTTTCAGCTTTAATAGCCTGTGATTCTGTAAGGATGCTGAATAACTTATTCCAGACTGGCTGAAGCTTGACTACAAGGCATGATAGAACTTAAATTGCACTGCTTTGTTGAGTCTGAAATCATATTGGGAGGCAATAGCCATTGTCTAAGTAACATGGGCTGCCAATTATTTGAATAAAGAAAAGTCATACTGTCCTGTATTAACTATCTTCCCCTGCTCCCTTTAATAAAGTTCATTTGTTCCGGTTTGTCCATCTCTTCTTTGTTCTGCAGGGCCTTTCTTATTGCTGAATCCATAGGTGCTTTTATCCACTCCAGACAGACTGAAAGAGTCTGACTCTTTGAGCGAATATATTTTTAGCAACAATTAAAGCTCATGTCTCCTGCCTTTCTGAGTGACTGGCATCCTGCAGCATTCGGAACCACCTGCATTCAGCCTTCAGGGAATGGCCCGCTTTGCTGATGGTTTAGCTATCAAATGGAGGCATAAACACTGCTGGTTGTATGTAAGCTGGAGAAGGGAGCTCATTATGCTAAACAGGAGTATTAATAATGCAAGATGTGCAAACAAAAACACTCTTGCCAATTGCAAGGCGTGATTTCTCCTCTCCCTCTTTCTGCTCCCTTGCTCCTCAGCACCAAGGCATCTGAAGGACATGACTGTAGCAGGAAGTGGGTCTCCTCCAGCAGATACTGGAACCTGAAAAGGAGATGAGATTGACAATGAAATTGGCAATTTCACTAAGAGAAATACCACGTTTGTCTGCCTTGGAGTTGGATTTTCATGCAGAGTTGGAAACTTTAGAAAGGGTAGTTAACTGGAAGGAACTGGTAAGGTCTCCTATAGAGGCTTAAGTCAAAGGTCATGGAAGAGCTTGTCAGAGACAATCTAGGTCATTTCTTTCCAGCTTAGAAGAAGGGAAAAGTTGTCATGTGAGCAGATAAGGGTTGGCTCCATTGGGAGGGCCAAATTATTCTTTCCTGTCCTCAAGTAAGACCACCTGAATAAAGTTGTTCTTAGGAATTCCTGCCAGCTGAACAAACCTAGTTCTATTAGGGTAAGTCCCCAAGTGAATTTTAATATGGTCTTTGTGAAACCAGACAATCAATGGGTCTGAGCTGCCTGTCACTGCGTGAGCCAATTAAGAAGAGACAGAGTTGAATCCTATATGAGCATTTATTCCAATAATGACAGAAGTATGGGAGGGGAGCAGGTCACCCACAAAAATCTGCTCTCTAGCCTAAACTGGTTTGGCTCAGTGGATAGAGCGTCGGCCTGTGGACTGAAGGGTCCCAGGTTTGATTCCGGTCAAGGGCATGTACCTCGATTGCTGGCACATACCTAGTGGGGGTTGTGTATGAGGCAGCTGATCGATGTTTCTGACTTTCTATCCCTCTCCCTTCCTCTCTGTAAAAAAAATCAATGAAATATTTCTTTTTTTAAAAATCTGCCCTCTAACCACCAAAGCCAGCTACTTATATTGGGTAGAAGATCAAAGATTACATGGGGAAGTAGGCAAAAGGGATAAGAATGAGTATGCAAAATGGGCAGTTTAAAGGCAATGTGGGCTGGGCCTTTGAAAAGGGCTGAAGGTTTGCAAAGGGCTGGGGGTTTGCAAAGGGCTGGATGTTTGCAAAGGCCTTGGGGTATGCAAAGGGCTGGCACCTCTGGTTTCTGCAATAAGGTTGTTAATGTTTCCATGATAATAGGCCACTCCCAGATGTGTCTGATTGGCTGAATTTCCAGGTTAGCTGCCAGGTCCTACGTGCACCTCCCAGCCAGGTTGAGCTGTGCTTTCTTTAATCAGAACAAAACAATCACGATTAACAGAGCATGATTAATATTATTATAACTACAGCTGCCCCCCCGCCATATTCTATTTCTGCCCCTAACAGTTGGAAAGTATTCTAGTTATCTACTGTGGTGTAACCAACCATTCCAAAATGTATTGCCTTAAAACAATTTATTATATGTCATAGTTCTGTGGGTTGAAAAGGCTCAGTTTGGCAGCTTTAGCTTGGGATAGCACATGCAGTTGCAGTTAGATAGCTGCTGGGGCTGGAGTCATCAGACTGTAGGATGGTCCATTCATTTACTGACCTGGTGCCTCAGTGCTCTGCATGTGCTGAGCACTCTTCTCTCTCTCTCTCTCTCTCTCTCTCTCTCTCTCTCTCTCTCTCTCTCTCTCTCTCTTTCTCTCTCTCTCTCTCTCTCTCTCTCTCTCTCTCACACACACACACACACACACACACACACTTTCATATATCAGAATCCTGTAAACTTGGGCTTGAGAACTGCTGGTTTGGTTGCTGTAGCATAAAGCATACTGGGCTGACATTTGAAGCTATAATATTTTGGATTTTTTTGAATGACTAATCTTTGATGAGAAGATTAAAAAGAAAGTGCTACATTTTAGATGTTCATAGTAATGGAAAAGAGAGTTTGTGTCAGAAAAGCTGGGGTCTTCAAGGGGTTGAAAAGCTCATAAAACATTCCTAACATCAGAGCCAGAGGTTAAGGTTTGTCACTTTTGGACCTGCTCGCATTTCAGATTTTGGAGGCCCATCTCACCCTTGAACAAGCTCTCTACACGTTCCACATAAGTTTTTATTAGATGTGAATAAAATGAATTTTGTTCTAAATGTGAAGTGATTGGAGGGTTTTGAGTTGGGGAGATACATGATCATGTTTACATTAAACCATATTCCAATTTAGACTATAGGCGTTTAAGAATGAAGCAAGAGACCAATCAAGATGCTTCTGCAATCCGCCAGACTCCCAGCATGGAGAAAGGACAGAGACTAGAGGTGAGTGGCTAGAAAAATGAAGGGGATTTAAAATCATGTCATCGTTGTACTTTAAAAAGCCCAGGGAGGCTTAGATGTTTCAACTGGGAATAGGAGAGATGCCTTCCAATATAAGACTGGCTGTCATGTAAAAAGATGGATTAAAATGATTCTGAGTCCCAAAAGCCAGATCCATGGGTGGAAACTACAGGGTGTGAGATTCGTGCTCAGAATAAGGAAGTGTTTTTTTCAAAGAATTGCAAACATAGAAGGGGCTGCCTGGGGAGTCAGTGAATTCTCAGCCCTTGACTGTGGAGAGCAGGGGCTGGAGGACTGTGGGAAGAGATGTGGAGAGTCTAGGCAGGGGCTGTGGGGCCAGGTGATGCATAGATTCCACTTGGAAATGCACTCATTTTGGAAACTCACAGATGTAGCAAGATTGAGACCTGTGGGTATTTTCATTTGCAGGTAAGCACCACTACAATAAAGGAAATTCATAATTGTGTTACTCATTTTGGAACGTTTTAGAGAATTTCCTAGTGGGGTGTAGCAGCTGCTGACCCATTGAGTAGAGGGGTGTGAGTTTTTCTCCCCACTTCTGGGCCACGTTTCTCAGAATGTTTCTCTCTAATCTTCTTTAGAGAGATGGTACAGGGCAGTGGTCGGCAAACGACGGCTTGTGCGGGCCACATGAGGCTCTTTGGCCCCTGGAGTGTGGCTCTTCCACAAAATACCACAGCCAGGGAGAGTCTATTTTGAAGAAGTGGTACTAGGAGAAGTTTAAAAAAATTTGGCTCTCAAAAGAAATTTCAATTGTTGTACTGTTGATATTTGGCTCTGTTGACCAATGAGTTTGCTGACCACTGGTAGGAAAAGAGTTTAGGCTCTGGATTAGCTAAACCTAGCTTGAAATTCTCAGTCCACACTTGCTAATTGCATGAGTGTAACCAAATTATTTAATGTTTCTGAGCCTCACTTATTCATCTGTTAAGTGAGGATTACATTACCTGTTTTCTATGGTCGTTATAAGAGATAATCTTTACTAAGTTCGCAGCACCTTGTAGGATTTTAATACATAGGAACCATACTCAGAAAAACAAACATCTTCTTGTGCAAGTAAATGGAGCTTCGTACTTATGTGACGAGGAATCACAGTGATCAAAGGGTTAACCCGCAGAAGGAAAAGCTCACTGATTGAATCAATGGAGTCCTAACTCCAGGATAGTATTCATTTTCCCCTCTAATGATGCATCTTTAAAGAAAACCATTTACACGAGTTCTAAAACACTCTGAGAAATGACAGTTCAGAGGCAATGATGTATAATGTTCAGAGCTTTCTCCAGATTGGTGCTGGGAAGCTAGAGGGAGTGATTGAGTCTCTCTGATGAGTATGCTTCTTCCTGTGAATATCAGGAGTGGGGGTGGGGTAATTGGTTTTCAAATAATCATGATTCATAGTTTAGTGGAAAACTGCAAAGCTCCCCATACAAATTGAACAAGCAAGTCAGTTCATTATATTGTAGTTATTGATATTGCAATCTGCTCCCAATGAATGCAATTACAAATCCATTTAGGAAGGAGTGTGATGGGGGGATTTCTTTTGCTTTCATTTACTCTTCAGGTGCCTGAATGACGTTTTTGTACATGAGACCTGCCCCATTTTCACTATCTTTGGGTCCTGTTTATATCTCCTCTGGCACTGGTCACAGTGCCTGGCACACTGATAATTGCTAGTTAATTGTAAATGCCCTTGTTATATGTCTCTGGTGTGCTTTTGCCCACTCAACAAAGGGTTGGTAATAAAGTTACCCTTATGGGTGTAACCACTCTGCATGCCCCAATCCCAGCACTCTGGTTTTCAACTAGTGCCAACCTTGACACGCCTTCATATCTTTTTATGTTGACAATGAATGACCTGTGTGTATAACCTGCTTATCTGTGAAACTTTCTCTGTTTTCTCAATATCCTGAAAGCCCAAAACTGAGAATAGCAGATAAGTTCCCCAATGAAAGAGAGCTGCCAGACATTCCTTTATGACTTCCTAAGATAATCTGTTGATCCTGTCTCTCTCACCATTTACCCTTCAACGATCTTGTATTAAGTGAAGATGGGACTTTTGAAGGGAGCTCACCCAATAGTTTAGTTTAGGGGACTTTAGGCCTCGTGGGGAGTGCTGTGGCATTCTCATCTCCAGGTTCCAAGAAAACTGTCATAGAGTTTTGAGGTGGATGCTTCAGGAAAGGGAAGCTGACATTTCACTACCTGGCTGGAAGCTGGCTGAGCTGAGAATGATGGCAAGCATTCCAGCTCTGCCACCAGGGGGCAGGAGAGAGCTCTTGGAGGACTTGATTCCTGGATGCTGGCCTTTAGGAGGCTTTCTGAATGAATATGGAAGTGGAGCTTAATTACAACCTGGAGAATTCTAGAGATACGAGGGTAAATGGCACAGCCTGCAATGGTTGGGAGGAGGAAAAGGAGGAGAGAGACAACATTTAGTCTATATTTTCCTTGACACAGGTGATCAGGCTTAATCCATTGTCTTAGTCAGCTTGGGCTGCTGTGCCATAAACTGGGTGGTCTAAACAATAGAAATATATTTCCCATAGTTCTGGAGGCTAAAATCAGGGTGCCACCAAGGTCAGGTTCTGGTGAGGTCTCCCTTTCAGGCTTGCAAAGGGCCACCTTCTCGCCATGTCCTCCCACGGCAGAGACCAGAGAGACGAAGCAAGCTCTCTCCTGTTTTTTTTTTCTTCTTATAATCTCACTAGTGGCCCGGTGCACAAAATTCATGCACAGGGGGGTGGAAGTGGAGGGGAGAGTGTCCCTTAGCCTGGTTTGCAGCCTCTCTAATCTGGGACCCTTGGGGGATGTCCAACTGCTGATTTAGGTCTGATCCCTCAGGACATCCCTCTTGCAATCTGGGACTGCTGGCTTTTAACTGCTAACCTGCCTGCTTGCCTGATTGCCCCTAACTTTCCCCACTTCTGGCCTGTTCAACTCCAACCCGCCCCCCCCCCTCCGCCCCCGCTGGCCTACTTGCCCCCAACTGCCCTCCCCTGCTGGCCTGATAAACCCTAACCACCTCTGCCTCCACCATGCCACGATGGCTTTGTCTGGAAGGATGTCTGGAAGGTCTCCTGGTCTAATTAGCATATTACCCTTTTATTAGTATAGATCATTCAGGCTATAGTTTCTTGACCTAATTACTTCCCATAGGCCCCATCTACAGATACCATCACATAGAAGATTAGGGTTTCAACATTTGAATTTTTCTCAAACACAAACATGCATTCCATCACAGCCTTTCAAAGGAATCTTCTCAAGAGGGTAGCATATATGCTGAGGGAGACTCAATTGGAGGAGGTCCCATAAAGGGAAGGAGCTCAGAGATGGTTCAAAGAGAACAGATTACTTCCTCCAAGAACTGAGCAGTAGAATGGTTCCCATGACTGAAGAGTCTACACATGTGTGTCCCACAAAAGGCAGCTTTTGAATGAAGGCAACACAAAAGTGGCTACTTGGTATCAGTTAAGGAAGAAACATACCAGTGGCCCTTTCTCTAATCTATCTTTTCCAAGCTTGTCCCTGAAAGAGCAAGAAGAAGTGAAATAAGATAGAGGAAATGTCATATTTAATTCTTACTGTAAGTCCTAAAGCCAAGGTTAGGCCTGACTGGGAAAGGTGTGGGCAATGGAGGTGGGTATTGGGAAAAAGGGGGAGGGAAGGAGCTTGGAATTAAATATGAGGTTTACATTTTGTTTTGTTGGGTGGGACTTTACAGTATCTGAAAATGAGTCTTTGTAATTGTAAGGAGATTGATCATGAAACCAGAGATTGGAAGGTCACAGGATCTGCCTGAAATGTCATCAAAGAGAAAGGCAGATTTATCAGGACATGCTAGAGGTAGTGAAAGAAAAAGAAAAATGTTTCTGTTTGTCTCATTGCTGAGTTCTGATTATTTATTAAACTGCTTACTCATGTCATGCAGGCATTCATACGTGAGATGGAGGACAG